TATATCGCACTTACATATTTAATTTTCTTTACAAATAAAAGCTTTATGCCTCCCTTTGAGCCTTTTCTCGCAGCCTTTGACTACAATAGCTACAACTAAACTATTACTCCAAATTAGCTTGGCATTCAGTGTGCATTTGTATTACTCACATGAGTTTTATTGGTTTTTTAATTATTATTTTTCCTCTTGGTCCATTCATCAATCATATTTACAAACCCATTGTTGCACTTACTGCCAGTTGAGTGTTCTGACACATTTCAGCACACAGACAGAAACAGCAAACTAGGGCAGCTCTATTAGGATCTCTAATATTTCTGAGGAGTCTAAAGGTGCTGACAGCTTATGGTCTTTCCAAGGCAAGTGCAAGTGCCTCAAAGTCCATCTATCTGCAATTACTGGAAGGGGTAAAATGACACCGCACGCTTTTCCTCTGAGAAGGAATCCTCTTCCCAGGGGTTAGAAATGGGGAACAAAAAGCGAGCTACAGCTGGAGATCTGATGACTGATATGCATTTGAACTTCTGAATAATCATCTGTGCCACACTGTCTGATTTTGCAAAGACAGCTTATTTTGAACCCGAGTTGATTAACTTCCTTGTTGTTCTGCCAGAAAATTTAAATTAAGGAATACATCAAGACTTAACCCTGAAGTTCTGCCACCCTACAAGGCTCAGTGAGAGCAGTGGAAGCAGCTCAAGGATGGCAGAAGCAGGCCCGTATTCTGCTTGGGCTATATACCTTTATACTTATTGTCCTCACTCAGCTTTTCTCTTATTTACACCAACTTTGTACAGTAGGCATTTCAGGATGGAGAGTTATCAAGAGAGAATTTATTTCTCAGGACTGCAGAAAATGGTGTTTCTCAGGGTTACAGAAAAAGGGAAGTAAGTTCCAAGAATCCAAGTCGGCACATTGTCACCACAGCCCTGTTTGCATACAAGTCCATTGTCAACCGAAGGAACTGGAAAATGATGGCTATTTATCCATTCCTCTCTTTACCCCCTGTTGTGCCTCTTTTGGCAAAGCAGCTGAAGAGTTTGCATTGTTTCAAATTTAACGCTTGCAGATGGTTTTATTTAGAATTTGTTTTATTGGTGAGACATGCTTCCTCTGTTTATTAAATTGTGCCTACTTTTTGTCATCCGTCATGCTGCCCGCAATTTCTGCTCAGAGCTGGAGGGTAGGGTTTGTTGTTACTGTTGCTGTGGGGTGGGTTACTTTTTTAGGGGGGGTGTAATTTGAAATATGACCGACCTCCGAGGAAACACCACGCATTCTCATTCACTTTTTTTCCCGCGAACAGCCTGAGACTCCGGAGGGGCGGGCAGAGGCGCGGGGTGCTGCGGGGGGACAGGCGCCCCAAACCGGGCAGCTCCGTCCGCCGCTGGCCGCGGCCGGCGGGGGAGCCCCCGGGGCACGGCCGGGGCGGGGGTCACGTCTGGCCGCCGTGCCCCGGAGGCGGGCGGCCCGAGGGCGCGGGCGGGGGCCGGGTCCCGCTCGGCGGTGCCGGGCGGCGGCAGGTGGTGGCCGCGGCAGCGCCCGTGGGGGAGCCCGGCGGCTCCGCCGGGACGGGCCCCTGGGCCGGCGGCTCCCCCCGCGCGGTGCCCGCGGGCCGCCCGGGCGGGTTTTGTCCGGCACAGCCCCCCCGAGCCCCCCGGCCGGCCGCGGGCGCTGATCGCCGGCGGCTCCGCGCGGAACTCGCAGGCTCCGGAGCAGGAGGTGGGAACCGCGGGCGGTTTGGGCTTGCTCGGCTTCTTCTGCGTTTGTTTTTTTTTGGTGGTTTTTTTTTCCCCCTTGCTCTATGCGGCTTTTGGGGTTTGTTTTTTATTCTTTTTTTTTTCCCCCCCCTCCTCTTTTCCCACCGCGGGTATCTGGAAGGAAAGCGGGAACGCCGCGGCCCCGGGAGAGCCTCGGCGGGCCGGGCCGGGCCGGGCGGGCCGGCGGCGCCTCCCCCCGGTTCGGGGGGTCCCCGGGCTCGGCCCCCGAACGCCCCTCTCTTCCGTTCTCCATGTCATTTCCTGTGCTAATAAGATGGTGGTCACGGCCGGGAGGGAGGGAGCCGCCGCTGCCGCCTCCGCCGAGCCCGGCCCGGCCCCGGGACCCGTCCTCGCCTGGGACTAGCCAGCGGGGC